GGAAAATGAGCCGTTAAACTGTTGTTGCTGCCGGTGAGCCAGTGCAGGCGACCGTTCACCGTTGGTGGAAGACATGTCGTTGAAAGAATTCAAAGACGAAGCATCAAAGCAACGGTTCGCTGCTGCCCTACGGTCACCTTCTACGTCCACGTTTTGCATACCATAGGAGATGTGATGAGGAACCATGCCAAACGGTAAGATCGACGCTGGACTGAACTCAGAGTGACTACTGGTGAACGGAACTTGATGGCCAACGCTGGATCCCCAGTGGGAGAGCATCGAGCCGAACGTCTGAGGGGAAAACGTAGCTGCATTTTCGCCGCGATAAACGGTTGAATATGGATGAATATAGGAAGCACCAGGCATTTGCTGGTTGACATAGTTGTTCAGCGCGTACACATGGCTACCGTAACCAGCTCTGATCAGTTCTTCTTGCTGTCTCGCCGCTTGAGTCTGAGGTACTGACCCAAAGTTATGAAAAATATCATAATTTGCTGCATTGGCATTCTGTAGCTGTTCCAACGAAGAAACGGACGCAAGACTGTCGCCCGTGGCAACGGTCATAAACGACTGTATTTCCAACAGCCCGTTTCTCGCTCGGTCGACCACGGCATCGATCGCCTCCTGGACATGTGCTGCGACATCATGCGAAAGGAGGCAACGTTTCACTTGTTCGTCCTTACCACTGCGACGGCGGCGGATGTTGGGGGGCAAAGGATCACTGACGATCGGCAAGGTATCGGTGATTTCAGAAAAGTCCCTGGGCAAATCGAAAGGCAGCACCAGAGGAGAGTTTCTCGAACTCGTTTCGACAAACCTTAAAACATTTTCTTGTTCGACTTTCGACTCTTTCGATACAGACGATGAACCACCTCCGTTTTCAGGCGCTTTCAAGTCTGAGGCAGTTTCGGGAATGGCGCCGAATAGGAAATTGGCCGGATCTTCGCAAACTGGCGCCGAAGTACACGAACTGTACTTCAGAAAGCTACCGCAATTATCCCACATGGTAGCCATATCTTGGCCACCTTGACCGGTCATCGAAATCACGGAGGATCGACGATAACCGGCGGCATCGTCAGGAGGAATGGCGAGGTTTAGCGACTGGTCACTGTCCATCAAAGAGAAGTCTTCCAAGACGAAGGACTGCTGCGAATCGCTGGCACAGCTGTAAGAACTTTCACCCTCCGGTACCTCTGTCGGGGGAGTGATCGCTTCGACCGAAGGATCGGCCCCCGGACAGCAAAACTGATCTCTTGTTCGTTTCAGCTCGACGAAGAACGGCACTTTGTCGAAGAATGTCGGGAATTGACTACATCTGGCGCTGCTAGAAGGCAAAACGTAAAACAACGGTTGTTCATCACCGTCCGCAGTTAGAGGCTGCAGACCGTAGTCGACCGACGTCTGTTGGCTAAACACCTTGAATATACCTGAAATAACAATTAATAGAAAACTAAAAGACTTCTAGATGTATTTACAGCAAACACCGCATAAACAAGACCAGGTTTTGTTAGCCCTGTCAAATTTTAAGTATTCCTTATAAAAACCTAATTATAGCAGACCTTTAACTTTATCGCAGGAGCGAACAATGCCAAAACGAATTGGGAGGGGGAACTTTTTATAAATCTCAGTGATATTTTTAATAGGGCAAACCAAGCAGCAGTCACGATAGCCTAAGGAAATCTCAACCTTTATTTCAAAAAGTCAGACAACACAAACCGAAGTATCCTTAGTATTCTAGTTTTTCCTGGCCTCAGACTATAATATCGATAATGATATAGCCACTATATGCAAACGGTATTATCTTCTGACTGAGGCGATGGACAAAACCTTCAAAGTAGTATATTGACATTGTTGTCGATGACGCCCTCGTTGTTTATAACGGGTGGATGCTTGAATTAGTGAAGTGTGGCGTGGTTTTTTTAAAATTTATTTACCCTTTAATTATCTACCAGCTAAGTAAAGAAGCAATACAATGCTAGAATGCGCATCACATAGCACTGCAATAAATCTATCAAACAGTGGCATTAGCACATCAGTACATTATGCTGCTCTCATCATTCTTAAATCGCTGATTGGCTGAACCGAAGAATTGCAGGGTGAGTGACTTTTAAGGCCAGGTATAACGAGGCAAATTTCAAATTCTCCAATTTGATTTCACTTAAAATAGCGATGTCAACAAGAATGTAGAAACCATATTTTTAGGTATTTTACTTTGTCGATTTATATAGGGGTTATTCTGTACTGATTTAATTATCTATTGCACGATATAGTCAAGAGATACCTCTGCAGGACCAACAGGAAACACCCAAAAAAAATCTCAGACAATATCTTAATCGGGTGAGATAATACCACAATGACGAACTCCGGCATTCAAATTTTGCTAGCCTTGCAACTGCATCCTCACTGGGACTATGGGATATATACACTAATCATATAAGGTACTTAAGATTATCAAATACCATAAAGCGCAACTTCCAGCGCCACTACTAATTTCGACGGTATTCATGGTATTAGCCCAGAATGAAAGCTCCGTAATAAACAGTTCTCAAAATTTCTCAATCAGTTCTAAAGGTCTACTTTCCCGTTGCCTAGGAAATTCTGTTTCATACACTTTGGCAGCGGGAACAGCATTCGTTTGTCACAGCTACATTCGATATTCATTTCTGCTCAACCACACCGTTTCATTTCAGAATAACAACAAATCTTTTCGAGCAGGAGAAGCACATTGTTAACCAGTTACGAATGAAATCATCCAATTCACTCTATTCAGTTTCAGTCAGTCACATTCGATGTCCGCTTATCGTTTCAGATCTTGAATGCAGAAACGTCAGACAGTATCTTCAACGTTCCCTATTATGTGCAAGCGTTTGAGCTGCAAAAGAAGGTACTCGAGTCCGAATCAGAGTCCACTGAGACAAGCGCTTTAAAACATTCTTGAGCGTCCGTGGGATCTTCGGACGGTCAAATGAAAAAAGATTAAATAAAAAAGCACTGACGATAAAAAGAAACAACGCAAAGTTTTTTGGAGCAATACAAAGGACGTAGTTCTCTTCAAGAAGAGAAATATTCTTTTCGTTTTCGGGTGCTGAAAATATATACACCTTAAGTATATATTTTACATATACGTAACATACCTAATACACAAACTGATATTAGCATGACTTGAGCATATATTTTACGCTTAATCATATACGTATATAAATTAAAAGGAAGGTTCATAG